TAAAAAAGGTGCCATTCATAATTCGAAAAAATAAGGGTAGATTAAAATGTATGAACATTTATTTGTGTTTCTCCATCTTTTTAGGTATCTATTAATTTTTGTATATTTCATGGTGTATTAGGTATCCCTATTTTTTCGAATTATTTTTACAGAATTTCAGTTAACATTTGAGTCTAATAAGGTGTCAATCGTATTGAAAAAACGGTACAAATAATAAGTGGAGTTATTMTCAATAATGAGACAATAAATTGATTCGAAAAAMGATTATTTTTCATGGTGAGTATAATATTTTGCATTTCATTGGAGAAATTGCTCGTTTGTGAACATTTGTTTCCAAATAGCCTTTTCCATTCCCAATATATAAAAATAATTAAGATTCAAATGCCCCACATATGGCCTATAGGTAATACTATTAACAAAACTAATCAAGGTGATCATATAAAAAAACGAGAAGAGTTGTGTTGCGGCAAAGAATATTTGTCCTAAAACACAATTGATAAGAAGACAATGTTATGAATGAAAAAATATTCTGAATTATGGAGTTTATTAATAAAAAATGTTTATTTACAATGTTAAACCATTAAATGCATTTTTTAATTTYGTTGAAAAGATAGATATCTCCAGCGGCGTCAGCTTAGTTCTTACAGTGTTTCTCTTTATGATTACAATATGAAACTGATTTTAGACAAAAATATTTCTACATACAATTATTATTTGGGACATAATCACATAATATTATAAAAAATAAGTACCCGTATTTTGAAATAACAAAACTTAATTAAAATATTTAAAACTTATCTTGATTACTTTGTTATTATATCTATTTGTCTAACTTAACTACCTAAAATGCTTGAAAATGTCTACCACTTGCGTATGCTTRAGATTGTATTACGTGTAAAGGGAGTAGTTATAATAAGTTATGAAATATTTGTTGATTTGTTGTAACATCTTTAATGAATATAGTGGGATGACGGATGACAGAGGGAAGTATATTATAGCTATGTAGTTAAGCGATGAATCTGAATATTCCTAAATATAATATATTGTAATGAATATCTAACTTAAATAAATATTAAATTTGAAAGAAACGATAAATCTTTCAAAATCAGTATTATTCAGATTATCTAAAATCAAKCAATTTTCGTTTAAAATCTGATTGGTACGAAAAGTTAACTTAAATAATTAATACCTAATATCTAATAAGCAATGATTTTAGAAGTGTTCAGTGTTGATTGTATTCTCATTTATATTATAATATGAAGATATAAATATT